GCCTGATGTGAAGAGGGGGGAGTCTCCTAGAGGGGCACCTGTCAGGGTTACGGGCAAGCACGATGGGGGTCGCCCTCAATCTTGCTTTCCTCAGCTGGCAGGAGGGGAAACTGAGCCAAGCCATTCCAGACCCTGGCTGAGCACCCCAACCACTTAGTGCTCTCCGCCCGGCTGCAGCAAGTTGAGGCGGGCTGCTGCAGAGCAATACCTCTGTGCCTGGTTTGAGAAGGGGGCTTAGGCATCCAGTGAGCCAGTGCCTCACAGACAGAGGCAGTCTGGGGACCTTTAGAGCAAAACCTTGGTTGCCAGGGTTTTGTGGTGCCTAAAATGGGGCTGAGTAGGCCCATCCTTAGTGCCCCTGAATCCTGTGTGGTGTGTCTGTGCCCTGTACTGAGCTAACGCACCCTCCTGTCACTGTCCAACTTAGCACTGCATGCCTGCTGACTCCAAGCTGGCACTACGGCCGTGTACAAAGCCGCTGCAGTTCCCTGGAGTTTGCCCCCAATGGAAAGAGACCGTGTTAGTCACCCAATGACTCCAAACCTGTACCCGACCCGCTGTGCTGCAGCTTCACCTACCAGGCCAGGTCCCAAGCCAGCCTGGCCCTGCATTCACATGGCAGAGCCCTTGGAAGTAACCCCAGGTCACCTGACAAGAAGGGATGGGAGCTGCAGCTCAGGACCATGCCCCATGGTTGTAGAGCCCAAGGACACGTCTACAGTGGTGGCATTTTTAAGTAATGGGCTTCTTACTTTGACTTCTGTAGCCCTCATCTCACGAGTAAGGGACGGGGAAGGAAGCATGTTCTCCCTTCAGTGTCCTGCTGTGTAGACACCACCAAAAGTTAAGATACTTCAACTTCGGCTACACAGTTAACATAGCTAAAGTTGTGTATCTTAATTTGACTAGCCCACTGTGGACGTTCCCTAAGGGTGCTCAGTTTACTGGGGTTTGATGTTGGTCAGATCAGGGAAAGGCGAGAGAGACTGCTCATTTCCCCCCTACCTTTGTGCAACAGAAAAGGGATTTATTCCTATCCCAAGCACAAGTGAGAAATATTTGCTGTGGTACATCAGTGACCTACCAGTCACCAGTAAACATGCTCCCATTCCCTGCACGAGAGTGCTGTTGTCAGGTCAAAGACACAAAGCTCATCTGCAGGACAGAACTGCCTAGGAGGTAGCTACTCTGCTGCCTGGCTTTATAAATTAGACCCATTACTTTGAATTCATGGCATGGACAGAACGGACCAGCCAGAGTGTTAATGACCAACCCAGCAGCAGCTGAATGAAGTGTCATTTGCAAGATATGAAAGTAGCTAAGTTGCAGTCCAGTCCACCTGCAGTGGCAGGCTCTGTCTCATGGGGGGGAGGAAGAGGAAGGGTCAGCCCTGTACTGTCACAGCAGCATTGCTGGATAACATGGGCTACAAGATGTTTGCAAAGAAAACAAGTGAGAAACTGCTAGCAATGCCCCTCTTCAGACAGCACAGGAAAGCTAGTCTCAACAGGCCTCACCTGGTGCCTGCTCCAGCTAACAACCCCACCTCCGTGCATTGTGGCCATGAGAGCTGTGCAAGGAGGAGATGCAGCTGCCGGCGGGAGGATCTGAGTTGGCTCCAAGACCCCCAGTTGTGATGGGGGCAAATGTAGTAGCAGAGCACTGAACACAGCAGAGACGCTCAGGGAAACAGGGATGTTTCAGTCTGCAAGTTACTGAGACTATTTTGTGAGAAATATAGTTTGGAGGGGTACTGCATTAGACGCTGAACAGCTCGTAGTGCTATAGTGGGTTACATGGGGATATTTTGCTGTACATACCCTCTATTCAGACAAGACATTCTACAGCCCTTCTACCAACATTCATTATTGTTCTAAGGAGTTAATGTGTGTTGTCATTGAAGTTACTTTAGGCTTATATCTCTGCCGTGCAGAGCTCAAATATGTGTGTGGGTTTTTTTAGGAAGTGGACATCTTAGCACTTGCATAACAGCAGACAGAAAAAACTTCTCAAAGCAGTCTGTTCTACAAATAAATGAGAAAAATGTTGATGTATTCTGTGCTACAAACAAGCTCTTTTGTCACGTAACAGTGCGCTCTCTGGGAAGTGGATGCAGTAAATAAGAGCCACTGCCACAGTATTTTCCTTTGTTTCAGGAAGCAAATCTGCATTGATTTTTATAAATGCTGAGGTGCAAGAGGTTTTCTTCCCCATTGGCCAGGCCTCCAGAAAGTGCCTTCGTAAAGATTTAGCCTGGTATAAAAAGGGTAAAATCCAGATAACAATTTGAGACCTGGGAAAAGTCTGTTGTGCAGGACTAATCACAGACTATTTAATTTTGGCAAGGGCCGCTGCTCTCCTCTCGGTGTTCTGGAATAAGGCTCGGATCAAACTCTTTACCTCCACGGGGGAGAATTCAGCTGCGAGGGGCCCTTTGCCCTCTGCCCATCTGGAAGAGAGGAAAAGGGAAACAGTGTAGTGCTCTGTGTAACTCCAATACCAATAACCAATCCAGATCTATAGCCCTTCCTTCCACAAACAGTCCTACACTCCTGAATATTTCAAGCTGCTGAGTTTCCATGACAAGCACAGTTCTACCCTGCATGACTTCCTCTTGCTACAGCCAAATGACGTTTGGTATGGTTACAACTAATTGTAGAGCGAGGACGCACTGCCTGTTCCTGCAGCCTCAAATGTAGCTGATTCCCGGCATGCACGGTGGACACAAATTGTGTCCACTGGTAAATGGCCATATGAACAAAGCAACCTGCTGTTGGGGACTTTCACTACACACAGTGCTCCCTCTGCTCTGCCTCAAACTCACAATCAGCTTACAGCCTGCTCTGCCTGCATTTACAGTGTCCACGCAAGTCACCAGCTCTTGGGACAGCAAGGCCGGGGGCGGAACCAGAGCATTCAGGATGATCCCAAATTGTTCCGACAGCTGTTGAGAGGCGCTCGGAGGGTGGGTTGTGACAGAGCATTTGGGTCTAAAGGAGAAGTTGCTTTTCCCATTTGCTCTCCATGTGCTTTGTGCCTCTAAGCTAAGGTTGCTGAGACAGTCGGTTATCCCCACCCGTCAAAGGTGCTTCTGGAGAAACTAAGTATGGGGACAGCCTGGTTCCAGGCATCTGTTGCCAGTTATTGTTGCCTTCTGAGGTTTTTGGGTCCAACTCTTTTGTAAAATTCATGCGAGTCTCCCTTGCCTGTCTAAAGGAGCAAGACACAGCATCTTCAAGTTCAAACTGGCCACACAGGAAAATACAACAGGAAGTAGGCACAGAAAACATCAAAGTGGTGGACAGAAGGCCATGATATACACAAGGCAGGTCCAGATTATGTTTATTTATGGGAGAAGAGAGAAAAAAATAGGTCTGGTTTGACAGGTTTCTGCCTGTGGGCAGCATTTTGTAGATAGTCATTTTCACTTCTCCCTTACACGCTCAGCCAGTTTCTCATTTGCGTTGCTCTTTCGCAAAGAAATGCAAAATGCACAAAATTGCAAAAACCAATCAGGAGAAATTATAGGTAGTTGCAATATCCAAAACTATTTGACATCCTTTATTAAAATTAATGCAGTTTCAAGCCCACAGCATTCCTTGAATTGAGAACACTGCAGATTTGATGGCATGATCTATCAATACTTTTATAAAAAATTTTGTGTGTGTGTGTGTGTATTAGAAGAAAGATGCTTACCGATCTACTATTTCTTGGAGATTGGCCTGTAGGATCATCATCAGCTCTTTGAACGTCATCCATTTCTGAACATAGACTGGAACTTCCTCTTGGTATTTCTTATTTTTGTTTTCTTCGGGTAATGGAGTGAACACCAGAGGTCCTTCTTCCAGTATAGCCCTGCATAGAAAGTGCAATCTGTCTGCATCCTCAGCAGAGATATCCTAGAATTGCACAGAGGGGGAGCAAATGAACAATTAAGTGTTTTCCGGTGCTTAGGGCAGAAAGTGACATGAAAGGAACAGAAAGCTTTGTGAAGATGATAAATCAGTCATCTGAACTGTACTTAACATACCATGAGACACACCAGGTTTCATCTGCTTCCTAATTTGCCACGCCAAAAAAACCCCAAAAAACCCCCTTATTTATGAATGTGTGCATTTGAACAAGTTCTTGGCATCTGCTCAGCACAGTATCTATGCTTGTTTCAAAGAGCACTGGAATTCAGAACATCTTACTGAGAAGCAAGGGACATTATTATACAAGCTTGAACACTTTACAGGGAAGTCACTCAGGAAGGATAGGTGGGGTAAACCAGGAGGAGGTATTGCCTGAAATATTAAAAATGTACACACTTGGACTGAGGTGAAGATGGACGTAGGAGACAGATGTGTTGAGAGTCTCTGGGTTACATTAAAAGGGTAAACAAGGGTGATGTCATGCTAGGATTGAAAAAGCTACTAGGGAGGAAGCTGTTCTAGATTCGATTTTAACAAATAGCAAGGAACTGGTTGAGATTTTGAAAGTGGAAGGCAGCTTGGGTGAAAGTGATCATGAAATCATATAGTTCATGATTCTAAGGAACGGTAGAAGGGAGAATAGCAAAAGAGAGACAATGGATTTCAGGAAGGCAGATATTGGTAAGCTCAGAGAGCTGGTAGGTAAGGTCCCATGGGAAGCAAGACTAAAAGGAAAAACAACTGAAGAGAGTTGGCATGGACATTATTAAGGGCTCAAAAGCAAGCTATTCCACTGCATAGGAAAGATAGAAAGCATGGCAAAAGAGGAGATCTTGCATGATCTCAAAATCAAAAAGGAGTCATATAAGAAGTGGAATCTAGGACAAATTACAAAGGATGAATATAAGCAAACAATACAGGTATACAGGAGCAAGATTAGAAAGGCAAAGGCACAAAACGAGCTCAAACTAGCTAGAGACATAAAGGGTAACTAGAAGACATTATATAAATATATTGGAAGCAAGAGAAAGACCAAGGACAGGGTAGGCTCAGTGAGGAGGGACAAACAATAACAGGAAACTTGGAAATGGCAGAGGATCTTAATGACTTCCTTGTTGCGGTCTTCACCAAGAAGTCTGATGATGAAGGAATGCCTAACAGTGAATGTCAGTGGGAAGGAGATAGGTTTAGAAGATAAAATAAAAAAAGAACAAGTTAAAAATTACTTAGAAAAGTTAGATGTCTGAAAATCACCAGGGCCCAATGAAATACTCAAGGAACTGACAGATGAGGTATCTGAGCCTTTAGCTATCATCTCTGAAAAATCATGGAAGACAGGAGAGATTCCAGAAGACTGGCAAAGGTCAAATACAGTGTCCGTCTATAAAAAGGGAAGTAAAAACAACACAGGAAACTATAGACCGTTCTGTTTAACTTCTGTGGCAGGAAAGATTATGGAGCAAGTAACCAAGGAATTCATCTGCAAACATCTGGAAGGAAATAAGGTGATAGGTAAAAGCCGGCATGGATTTGTAAAGAACAAATCATGTCAAACCAATCTGATAGCTTTCTTTAATAGGATAAGTCTTGTGGATAAGCAGTGGACCTAGCCTTAGTAAGGCATTTGATACAGTCTCACGTGATCTTATCAATAAACTAGGCAAATACAACTTAGATGGGGCTACTATAAGGTGTGTGAAGAACTGGCTGGATAACCGTTCTCAGAGAGTAGTTATTAATGGTTCACAATCATGCTGGAAGGCCATAACAAGCGGGGTTCCGCAGGGGTCTGTTTTAGGATCTGTTCTGTACAGTATCTTCATCAATGATATACATTGGCATAAAGAGTACACTTATTAAGTCTGCAGATGATACCAAGCTGGGAGGGGTTGCAACTCTTTGACGGATAGGGTCAAAATGATCTGAACAAACTGGAGAAATGGTCTGAGGTAAACAGGATGAAGTTTGATAAGGACAAACGCACAGTACTCCACTTAGGAAGGAAGAATCAGTCTCACGCATACAGAATGGGAAGCACTGTCTAGGAAGGAGTACGGCAGAAAGGGATCTAGGGGTCATAGTGGACCATAAGCTAAATATGAGTCAACAGTGTGACACTGTTTCAAAAAAAGCAAACATGATTCTAGGATGCATTAATAGGAGTGTTGTGAGCAAGACATGAGAAGTCATTCTTGTGCTCTACTCTGCGCTGATTAGGCCTTAGTTGGGAGTATTGTGTCCAGTTCTGTTCCCTCCTCCTTGTAACATTCTTTTAGGTACTTGAAAACTGCTATCATGTCCCCTCTATTTTCTCCTTTCCAAATTCTTTCAGTCTTCTCTCATGTTCACGGGCCTGCCAGTTCCCAACCTGTGTCCATAGTCTAATTTTCTTCAGGGAGACTAGAAGACAGATCTCAGCTGGATCAGCATATTTCTGTCATTTGGTATGAAATGGTATTTCCTTTCAACAATTAAACATGCTCATTTTACTTCTTGTCCCAGCATAACCTATCAATCACTTAACAGACACTGTATAGGGAAATACAGCATACTTTTGCAATGGAGATCCTGCACTCATTTTAGTCTGTGGTGTCTGCTAGGATGCAGAGATTCATGCACAGCCCCCATGCTCTGCAGCAGGGAGCGGGGGTTCTCAGAGCTTCCAGGTTCCCAGCCACTGAGCAGGACTACCAGGCTGTCTGTCTCCCCAGTCTGCATGGGTTGGGAAGGCCCAGGAGCCAGCTGGCATGGGAATTTGGAAGTCTTGGGGGTCCCCTGAGCCAGCAGACCCTGAAATACCATGCAATAGCTAGTATGATTCATATCAGATTAACAGCTGCTATTCCGTAGTGGGCAGCAGTGAAACTGGAAAGTTTTATGTCCATTTCACTGAGCAGCTGCTGGAAATCCCAGAAGTACATTTCATTTTGGAATCCCTGTGTTTCTGATGTTTCTGCAATTAAAACATTTCCAATTCCCTGGTTTTCAGGAAATTTCAAAATAATTACATCTGTTCTACACAAGACTCAGAGAATCTGTCTTTGAAACTTTGCAAATGCCTTTCAAACTCCATCCTCCCAGTACGCTTTGCTAAGTCCTGAGGGCACCACTTAAAAGTAAAATCTGCCTACTCCACTATGCAAATAGGAGACTGAACATTGTCTTCAATGGTACTAGGATTTCACCCAGTTGGTGTGCATGGTCTCGGTCAGTTCTGGATGATGGAAGCTTGAAGCATTTCTGTTGTTACACTGGATCCTAGATATCAGGGAAAGTCAATAGTGGCCGTGAAACTTGACTCTTGCAAGCTCATCTGCAAGGTAATCAAGTACCTTATTTATAATGTTTGATCCTTGATATGTAGAGCACTTGGATTTACCCCTTACCTCTAAAGCCGTGACTCTATTAATAACCTCACTGAGCGCTGTATTCAGTAAGATCCCCATGGCCTTGCAGTAGACATTGACTGGAAGCACATCTTGCCATACTTTGCCAAGTCTCTTTAGCTGGTGCAGTACCTGGAAGAGAACAACTCCACCTTAGCCAGAATCATAAACAAAGATAGACACTAAAAATGATAGGGCAATTACATAGCTATAAACTCATTTTCCAAAGCAGAGTAAGGTATCAGATTAAGGAAAAAAATAGTACTTTGGGCTTGAATCTAGAGGAGGTTAAAAAAACCCAACTCAGCTCAAACAAAATGGAAAAAAATTGAAAGTTTACCAAAATCTAATTTTTTAAAAAGTAATTCAAAATAAAAAAAAAACACCCTTTCATATTGATTTGAAGTGAATGGAATCCAAATGAACATTTTTCAGTTTTTGTAAAAGGGAAACAAACCCAAATGAAAACAAGTTCTTTCAATTCCATTGTAATTCTAAGCATTACATCCATGCTAAGAATTCTTACTGCTACTACTCGGGGGGGGGGGGAGAGGAGGAGGAGAGAGAGATCCCTTACGCTAGAATCCTTATTGCCCTTTGGCTGGCATCACTCACTTGTCGTGTTGCTTTCTTTGCTGCAGAATAGTTGTCCTCGTTGTCCAAATTGGAAAAATTCCTTGCATTTGACAATCTCTCCAGGAGTTCTCCTTTCTGCACACGCATCTGGGCCAAAAAACACTCCATCCCTGGCGGAGCAAACGAGAAGAGGAAGCCATTTATTCCACAGCCTCAGACGATGTAAGCAGTATATCTGATGTGCCTATTCGGAGACATTCAGCCCCGGAACACAAGCCTGCCATTAGACTAGGATCCATTTTAAAAGACAAACACATTTACCTTTCCCTGTCTCACAGAACAGGTATGTGGTACCGTTCTGCCAGGCATATATCGTTCGGCACAGAGCTAGGGAAACCTCTCACCTCTTGCCCCAGTAAGTGAGATCTCACCCACTTCTGATTCCTAAAAATCCAATCCACAAATATGTGTGCGCACGCGTGTGCAAAATGTTGGAAAAGCCTCTTTCGGAAGAAAAGTATAAAAAGATGCACTTGCGGTTTGCAATTTGCGTATCTTTTCCCGACTTTTCCCTGCAGTGTAAACATAGCCATATTCTAGCACAACCACCTCCTGAGTGACACCATCAGGGAACTGAAAATGGAAACCTAGCTATGCAGACTCCCACTGAAAGCAATAAGACTGACAGACCAGACTGGAGATCGATGCAGAATAAACCATGTTTTGGCCAATATTACTCTAATATTGATCACTCTCAACACTTCCTAACACGTTTCATCTAATGCCCTGTTAAGCTGAATTACATCTCAGAGCTAGTTCAGCCACCACCCTCATTGAAGCACTATCCTGTTATATAGATAACAAAAAAATGAGGCACAAAGAAGTTCAGTGACTGGCTGAAGGTCACACGCTGCCAGGGTTCCTAATTCCCAGCCCCCTGCTTTCACCACCAAGTTCCCTTTCGATTATACACTTCTCAACATAAACACTGGGACGAGAGGCAGTTGTGCCAGTCAGTGTATTTCAGTATGAAAGGTAAAATTACCAAGTCTCCTAAAGCCAGGCACCAGGTCCACGAAGGTAGCTGCTCCATCATACAGTACGGAGGTGAGGCGGTATCGGAATTGGTGTCCTAGGGTTAACAAGTGATGGGCAATGTACATACAATTGTTGTGATGAATGGCCGCCAGCTGGGGTAGTTTCTGAAGTTTTTCTCTACCCGAGGAGGAAGGAGGAGGAGAAGGGAAGAAATAAAGAGACATTTTGAATCAGATCTGGGACTCTAAACATAAAAATACGCCCTGATATTGTTCTATAGTTCAGAAAAGGTCCAGGTTAGACACTCAATAAGCAAGAAGCTCTCTTCACTCTCAGATCAATGCTGCTGCTACCTAATCAAAAGCAACACGAGGGACAATTAGTGAGAATAAAAGCATGTGGCTTCTGGACTTTCACGTACAATGGGAAGTGAACACTGAGAGGGCAGCACAACATAATCACCTTTGTAGACCTTTACACAAGCAGAGGAGGTTGGCTACAATGTTCAGGGGTGTGTAAAAGTCCTATCCCAAGCGGCATAAATAGTCAACTTAATTCCTTGCGTAGACAGAAGTAGGTTGAATTCTTCCATCCTCTAGCTACTGCCTCTTGAGGAGGTGGATTACCTGAGCCAACAGGAGAACCCCTGCCGGCAGTAGATAGCAGCCACATGGAAGCTCTGCAGCAGCACAGGTCTGTAGTGGTTTTAGTGTAGACATGCACACACTTTAGCCAGGTCTAGAATCAAATTATCTCAAGTGAAGCCTGAGAAGCAGGAGAGGAAAAGCATTGGGTTGTAGCAGGGCTCTCGGTCCTCAAATCCAGTTCCTGCCTGGGATTTTAACCCTTTCCTACCACTGCTTTTCCCCAAGGGAAAGACACCAGCTGTTGGGGGAGGGAAGCACATCACAAAACGAGCCACAGTGGGGTTGAAAGGTTTTGGCCATGTCCATGCTGTGGCTTGCAAATGGATTGAGGCAAGTTTCCAACCTAGCTGTTACAAAACCGCATACAGACCATTCCCATGTAGGGGTGAGTCTAAAAATCGTTGCTTAGATTGGGATTCAAATTCCTGCCCACAAGGAAGCATCTGACTAAGCCAGGTTAGGCCATCTCCGATGACAGCTGACAGAGGCTACGTCTAGACTACATGCCTCTGGCGACAGAGGCATGTAGATGAGGCTACCAGGCATAGGAAAATGAAGCGGCGATTTAAATAATCGCCGCTTCATTTAAATTTACATGGCTGGCGCGCTGAGCCGATCAGCTGTTTGTCGGCTCAGCGCGGTAGTCTGGACGCTCCGCGGTCGACATCAAAGGCATTTCTCGACCTCCCAGGTATGCCTCATCCATGCATTTACTTCCTCATCTGACATACCTGGGAGGTTGACAAATGCCTTTGATGTCGACCCCCTGCGCGTCCAGACTACCGCGCCGAGCC